ACGTATACTGACGCAAGTTCAATAGCAATGACGGCATGCATCTACCTTGTCGACGAAGCAAACTCCAATCTTCTAATGGCCAAATCAAAAATACCACATATGAAGTATCAAGCGACGATACCGTTTCTGTACGAAACAAAACCGCTGTTTTCATAAGTGTCCGTAGAAATGGTGTTGCTTGATAGAAATTGTTATTGAGTGGACGATGTAAACAATAACTGTATATAAGCACACCCGAACGGGTGTGGTTCATTCTTATTCTTGTTCTCATCCTCAGTCTACTTTCTACCGTTCGACTATCTTCGTCCAGCTATAAACTGCGAAGCAGCTCGGTGTACGACAGAAGCGTGTAGGAAGCAATTATACATAAGAAGCGTGGCAGGCAACTACATATACTTATATATCCGGCTCTCCACCACACGCGGATGATTTCAAATTATATCACCCAATCTCAGACAGCTCTGGTAGGGAACTGTTGCAGAAAGCTATTGACTCAGTCTATACTTGGGCTGAGCAATGGAAACTTCCCATCTCTGAAGAAAAAACTAAGGTGCTTCATTTAGGCAAAGTTGTTGTCACTCCTCTTTATTCAATAGGTGCTGTTCAGCTAGAGGTTGTGAGTGCTATCAGAGACTTGGGCTTCCTCGTTCGAAGCGATCTTTGTTTTGATGAACACTGTTCTAAGTTAGTTTCCAAGACCTTGGCGGTAATATATAACATGTTCAGAGCTTTGACAACAAAAGATTCACTGGTGCTGCTGCGGGCATACAAAACTTATATCAGACCATTATTGGAATATGGTACCGTTATTTTCAATCCGCATAAAGTCAAAATTTCCAAGGCACTTGAAAGGGTGCAAAACAGTTTCACACGGAAAGTTTTTCTAAGGGTTGTGGGGTTCAAGTATGATCAAATTCCAGATGGTGTAACACGCAATGCCAACCTCAAACTCGAAAGCTTAGCGCTAAGGAGGAGGAAATTTGACCTACTCACTCTTTTCAAGATCTTCCATGGGTATTCCGCGCTCAAACCTAATAGTTTTCTTGAAGTTAAGAATTCGGTGACTAGGGGAGGCTCCAAGAAAATGTTGGTAGGAAGAGCCAAGCGGAATATTAGGCGTCATTTCTTCGTCAATAGGACATGTTCGGAGTTGAATAGACTGCTCAAATCGGGAGCTAATATTAACAGATTGAGTTCTTTCAAAGCAGCCTTGGAAAAGTATTTAACATGCTAGTTCTTGTTTTTCCTTCACTTCATGTGCACTTATTATTTGTATGGTTTATATTCTCGTCTAAAACTACCTCATCTCATATCGGTTTAGTTCGAATTTCTCGCCGTTATGTTTTGTGGTGTTGTTTTTTTTGCCTAACACATGGGGTTATACCTGTGTAATAAACAATTACAATCACTCGGCGAATGAGGATGCTGAGATGGGCCTGCGGCTGGACGCGACTGGACAGGGTCAGAAACGAGGATGTCAGAGCGGTCATGCAGACTGCCCCTGTCCAGCTGAAGGTGAGAGAACAGCGATCTGCGATGGTATGGGCACGTGCTAAAGGAGGCCACAGAAAGGCAAGGCAAGCGACAACGAGGTGCCCAAAGAAAAGGTGGAGGAACGTAATCAAGAAGGACCTAAGTGAAATCACGGCCACAGCAGAAGATGCCCTGGACAGAGCGAAGTGGCGACGACTGATAAAGACAGCGGACCCTGCGACTGCGCGGGACTAACGCTAGGGAGAAGAAGAAGAAGAAGTAGATGTTTGCGATTTGTGTGAGCTGTGGATGTTCATTTCTCTTTACTTAGAAACGCGGCATGCTAATTTTAGACGACTCGAAAACGCTGTCGCTATTCCTTTAGCGCACCCTGTATTCCTTGTAATCGCCGCCTGGTTTACTCTAAGCATAAGGTTGAGTTTGGGTTCAGACTTAGGTTGAGGTTTATGCTTACACATTGGCTTATGCCTAAGCCTATGATTGGGCCTAGGCTTAGTCCTAAGCTTGCTCCGAGCGAATGAACGGCGTCTCAGTTTTAGGTGACCTGACCCCAAGGAGGAGAAACGCTACGCACCCAGAGTAAACCAGGCGGCGATTGCAAGGAATACAGGGTGCGCTAAAGGAATAGCGACAGCGTTTTCGAGTCGTCTAAAATTAGCATGCCGCGGGTGCGTAGCGTTTCTCCTCCTGGGGTCAGGTCACCTAAAATTGAGACGCCGTTCATTCGCTCGGAGCAAGCTTAGGACTAAGCCTAGGCCCAATCATAGGCTTAGGCATAAGCCAATGTGTAAGCATAAGCCTTAACCTAAGTCTAAACCCAAACTTAACCTTAAGCTTCAATGATCGCGCAACTGTGGTGACCTGACCCCAGGAGGAGAAACGCACGTCTCCCGTTTAACTCTGGACCGCGCACTGCTTCTGCGGTACGTGGAATAGCAAGGCATCCTCATTCTTCTTTTCATCTGACACGTCATTCGAATCATATCTCATCAATATCACGGTTTATCCATTATAAATGGAAATTACGAGAGGAAAAACGAGCCAGCAACTGCTGGTATGGAGCGCACGCGGTTTGAGGACCCTTTCCAAGACAGCGCGAGCACATGCGAGAGGCCCATTTCCCGCTGTTAAGAAGGAAGAGTTATTCTCTACTTTGTTTATAGTTCCTTTCCATTTTCCTTCACTGGAGTTACACATCACATCTTTGCTGTCAATTTCGAGCGCCAAGTACCCCGACGCGATCCTGCTTTTGACTGCAGTCCTTTTGCTCATTGTTATACTACTGCACCTCTAGACAACCTTGACACATTACACATTGCTGAAATTAAATTATGCACCCGTGTTTTGCATTCACCTTAAAATCTATGGATGTGAGGTGAAGAGCTCGATTCTTGAGCTTACACCGATACTGGGGCAACAAAGTATACATGCGCGCTATACAGTGCGTTTCATAACTATTGTACATATAAGGTCACCCTAAAATATTGCATTTCCGGGACCAGCAGCCAACTGGTGATTTTTCCACTATCACCAAATGATTCCCACTACGAATAACCCCTGTATCGCAATTTTGGTGGGAGCAGCTTTTCTTCGAACTTTTTTGTAATTATTTTTCGATTTTTGCACCGTTTCATAATATAAGGTCACCCTGTGAAAATGAATACTACATTATCGGAAACAACCAACCTGCCTGTGAAATTGAATGTTTGTTACAAACACACCCAGTAGCTAAATTTATGGAATGTTTCGTACTCGCCTTTTGAAGAAAAGGTAAAGTTTATGCATTTCATGGTGCTTGGCAGGGTCAAGCGAACAGTCGAGGAAAATCTGGAAATTCGACCCTCCCCCCTCCCTCCCCGGAGGCCGAATTCCATAAAACGACCCTCTTCAAAGCCGAACTATGAATTTTCCCCCAAAACTGTTCATAAAAAAGCCCTGCTACCCCACCGTCCACCAAAAAATTCGTTTAAGAAGTACAAAAGTGAAAAAGTCAAAGAATGATCATTATTGATGAGTCCTACCAAACGAGCAAACGAGAAACGGAGCAAAAAACGACAAACTAGCCACTAAAAATGGCATACTATGACAACATCTCTTCTTTATTTATTTCCTTCGCAAGACTTACCAAATTCTAGTACTACACAGATATGGTTCTCAATTTACACGTCCCCCTTTCGTTGAAAGGAAGCCTTGTAACCGCCTTAGCCAGCTGTGTGTTGACTGATCTTTGGCGTTGACCGTGGAGCAGCTTATTTACTATTGAAATTTGAACAAATATTCAAATGATTATAACTTTCTTCAAATATGACGAATTTTCAATCTGAAAGCAGATTTGGGAGTTTTGTGAAGAGCTCTTTCTAATCAGTATTGAAATTACAAAAAGTTATAAGAAATAACAAATTTAGATCAATTAACGAGGAAAATTCGAGATGAGCACGAGTTTTTACACTTTCCGAAGCATAACTTGCTTCATTTTCGTCAAATCTGAAAAGTTAATATGGCAGACAAAACTAGAAGATTTTCTCTATCAAACGGTTGCTAAAGCAGCTTCATACGTCCAGTATTCAAAAAATGGCCACGTTGAGGATTTTTGCAAAATTAACGAGGAAAATTCGTGATGAGTGCGAGTTTTTACGCTTTCCAAAGCCATAACTCCGTTCAAACTCATCCAATCTGAAAAGTTAATACGTCATCATAAACTAGAAGATTTGCTCTATCAAATGCTCTAGAACTGCTAAACGTCCAGTATTAAAAAATGGCCACGTTGAGGATTTTTGCCCGAGTACCGCCGAAAGGTACTTTTTCGCTGCATTGGCACTATTTCA